AGCTAAGAATAGAATAAGAAAGAATGATAACTAAAGTTTGTGGCTCGGACTCTCTGTCCAAGCTAGCTGAGCTGTGATTGGCCATTAATTAAAAACAACTAATATAAGCTAAACAAAGATCCACCTGTTGCATTCCGCCGCAGCAGATAATCAATGTTTACATTTTGTTCCTGAGGCTTTTCAGCTTCTCAGGAGGAAAAATCCTAAAGAAAAGATTTTTCATAAACACTTCTCCACCTGATCAAGAGGTTCTTACCATCTCTCCTTGGACCAGGTCTCCTCCAGACCTCCCCATCTGCCCTAGGAAGGACAGGAGGTCACATTGGTCATGAGCATTTAGAAGCAAACAGAGAAAACCTGGGTTGGAGCAGCAAAGCAAATCAGCAAATTTGAAATATTTGGTGCTTTTACAAAAGAGGTGCCCAGACTCTCCTCCAAAACAAAACCAGAATGTATTTCTGGGGCAGAGGGGTAAAAACATTCCCCAAAATGATCCCTCTTGCTATTTTTTCTAGCTGTGATCCCTGGGAAGACCAACCTGCCCTCAGCACCCTGCAGATCTGTCCATGAGCCAGATTTACCTCAGGGAGAAGTGGTTACTCCTCAAATACAGAACAGAAAGACACAGGCAGGGAATCTCTTGTTTCAAACCACTGTTGCTTCCACATCCCTCAGTCCTCCCTCTGAAGCCCAATATTAGAAAAAAGCAGTAACCATGGGATGCTGGAAATTGATATTATTGAAATTAATTCCTCCAAAAACTAAAAATCTTGTTGTTTTGGGGGGTTTTAAACAGCCTAAAGGAATTCCAGCCTCCAGGGAGAGGCTGGAATGAGATGAGCTTTAAGGTCCCTTCCAACCCAAATCCTTCCATGTTTCTGTGATTTGCATTTCTCTGAAAAACACCCAGCACGGAGTAAGGAGGTTTTACATAACCCATGTGAATTATTCTCTCAGCAAGAGCTGGAGCAACTCTTATGAACACCCAGCCACATTCACACATTGAGGTGAAAAAGAAGGAAAAGCAATGTTTCTCCACCTTGGAGTATTTTTTTTTAACCACCACATTGCAAAGACCTCCTTGTGCAATGGCCTGAAATGCCCTTTTGCTTCTTCCCATTTCCGTTTTTAGGGTTGAGACCAAATCCTTCTAAGGAAGAGCAGAGAGGCCCAGGTTACCTGGTGGCTCTGGGTCACCCAGACCCACACAACAATCTCAGGCTGATTTTTATGGCTGCTCGGTGCATCCGGGTGTTCCGTTATTGCAAACAAATCACCCACAATAAAAACATGTCAGAGAAGGACACTGAGCAAATGCGGATTGAGGGGGAAGGGATTTCAGCCTGGACGTGGTTTCAAACTTGGTCTCATTACAAAGCCAAAGTTCTGCACAAATATCGCGGTGTTTCTCCTCATCCCTGTGTTGTCTCTGCTGTTTTCAGTGTCTGGTGTTCAGGCACCTGCAGAAGGAGAGGGCACCTGTCAGAAGCTGATTCTGAAAATCGAGTGGCTGTCACGTTTTCTGGGGTTTGGGATCTCCTTTCTTCTGCACGAGACCTTCCTGCAGCCAAGTCCAGCTTGAGGAATCCCTGCAGCTTCAGCCTCCTCACCCTCAGCTCTTCCCAGCACCTCCTCTTCCTTCTCTTGATGGAGCTCAGGAGGTGCCTTTGGACAATCCTTGTGCTGCCTCCACAGCTCTGACCTCAGGTTTGGCCCTTGAACCAAATCCCACCATCCACCCAAACCAAAAGGCAATTGAAAAAAGTCACGTGAAACCGTGTCAATAAAACAGTCACAAAACGGGGCAAAACCCTTAAGATCCACCAAAGTCAACTCTGGATGGGTTTTGCTGACAGGTTTCCATCACAAATCATCATCCTTGGCCATAAAAACACCCAAGGGGGAGTAAAACCCTTTGGAAAAGGAGGTGGGAGCCTCCATGGAGATTTCCTGCCTTCCCAAGACATCCTGCCCATGAGGAGGGGGCTGCTCCCAGGTTACAACAGGTTTCCATCACAAATCATCATCCTTGGCCACAAAAACACCCAAGGGAGAATAGAACCCTTTGAAAAAGGAGGTGAGAGCCTCCATGGAGCTTTCCTACCTTGCCAAGGTGACACCCAGCTGCCCATGAGGAGGGGGCTGCTCCCAGGTTACAACAGATTTCTATCACAAATCATCATCCTTGGCCATAAAAACACCCAAGGGAGAATAAAACCCTTTGGAAAAGTAAGCTGGGAGCTTCCATGGAGCATGTCATCCTGCTGCCCATGAGGAGGGGGCTGCTCCCAGGTTACAACACCCTGCAGGAAGAGCCCAGAGAAGTGGCTCTGGACAGGCTGCCGTGCTGAAAGGGGGGCATTGAGCAATCAGCCCAGTTGGAGAGGCTGGTGTCTAGAAATAAAAAGTGACTGTTTGTTTTCTAACGCCTGCAGAGGCGCCTGGGGGGCCCGGTTGGAGGAAGCAGCTGGAGCTGGTGGCTCTTGGAGTCCCGAGCAGTTCAACTGTGAGCTGGGACCTCACACTGCCTTGTGGTTGCACAGCACTGCATGGACAAGCCTGCAGAGCTTTTTTCCTCTTTCTCCAGGTTGAGACGGGGTAAATCTCAGGATTTAGCTGGGACAAACTTCGCCTTCCTCCTCGCCAGCCCACCAAACTTGTTCTTCACACGAATTTGGCACTAGGTATTCCTCACACTGGGTTTCAGGCATGTGAGAGGGGTGGATGGACACTTGTTGTCCTCATGGACACTGAATTCTTCTCCTGGAGCCACCTTCTGTGGTGTTTTTGGCATTTGGTGAGGAGCATAATTTGGCGAGGAGCATGTCCTGCATGCCCCCCACCAAACTCCACAAATACATCATGAACAAGATAAATAACACCCAGGATATAACCCAGCTCATTTTCTCCCAGGGAAAATGCTTCCCAGAGACTCAGCTGCCTTCCAGCCACAAATCTCAGGAGAAAGGTTGGCTTTGGACCCAAATTACATCCCTGAGTCAGCGAACAAAACATCAAGGGGCTGCAGTGTTGGTCACATCCTTTGCAGCACCCAGAAACCAAAATGTTCCTCTGCCATGGAGAAGACATCTTTAGGCTGGAAAATCTTAGAAAATTCCCCCAAATTTCCTGCCCTGGTCCACCCTTCCCTGCCAGATGTCAGGAGGATTTGGAAAGCACGTGGCTCCTGCCCAAATATCCTTGAGGGAACCCTGGATGTCCTGCAAGTTGAGGTTTCCTTCATGGAAACCAAGCTGCACTCTCCTTCCCATGTGGAACCTTTTGCTCCTGAAGGCAGGAGCTCAGCCTGGGCAGCTCCCAGAAATTCCCTTCCCATTCCCACAGGGACACAAGGAGATATCCTGGCATCCAGTAGGAGTTTGATGGTGCTGCTGCTCTGACTCCAAGTGTGGGAAAGCACCAAAAAAAGCAGCAAGAATTTTGGGGAGGGCAGTCTGAGCATCTCATTTATGCTCCACTAGGTGCATCACTCAAAGGAGGGGATGCAGGGGATAAATCACCCTCAGCCAAAATCTTGGGCCACTTTTGGGACCTGGCAGCAGACAAGGCACTGGCAGAGAGGAGCCCACACTGGCACTGAGGTTTCACTTCGGGGAGGTGACAGAGAGAGAAGCCCAAATGAACAGAAACCAACGAAAGTATTTGAGTCACCCAAAACCACCAAGGCAGGGCACAGCTGCAGCAGCAGCAGCTCGCTGGGGCTGCCCAGGGCCAGGCAAGGTGAAGGGATGGGTGCCCAGGATGCAGGAACATCAGCGTTGGATGCTTCCTCATGATGGATGGCAGGATGGGGAAACCCATCTCAGGCCTAAAAATTCCATTAAAAAACCCAAAAATTAAATTAAAAACCACAAAAATTCCATTAAAAACCTAAGAAATTCCCCTAAAAATCCATTAAAATCCATTTAAATTTCCATTAAAGTTTCCATTAAAAATTCTAAAAAAATTCCACAAAAAATTTCCACAAAAGTCCATTACAATTCCAAAATAATTTCAAAACAAGAAATTTCCATTGAAATCCAAAAGAAATTCCATTAAAAATTATTTTAAAATACCATTAAAATTTATTTAAAAATAAATAATTTTTATTAATGAAAAAAATCCATTAAAATTGGAACAAAAAAAAATCCCCAATAAATTCAGTTTTAAAATGCTAAAAAATTCAATAAAAATTCAAAATAAAAATTAAAATTCCTGAAAAAAATTCCCAAAAAGTTCCGTAAAAATGCAGAAAACTCCAGGAATTTAATGGGAAAAAATTAGTTCCATAAAAACCCAGGAATTTAATGGGTTTAAATTTAATTTAATTTAATTTTGATAAATTAAAATAAATTTTATTTAATTCCATTAAATAAAATTTATTTTAATGGAATTAAATAAAATTAAATTCCATAAAAATTTAAACAAAAACCCATTAAAAATCCATTAAAATTCCACTAAAAATCACATGCCCACCTCGTTACTCTTCCTGCATCCCACTGGTTCCTTGTCAGTCCCTCCTCACCCACCAGGTATTTCCTCTTGGAATCTCTGTGGTATGGAAGCCATGGCGCTGGTTAAGGTCTCAAACGGAGCTGTGGGCTCTGAGACAGCACCAAAAATAACCAGAGCATCACAAGGCACCTCAGCTCCCCACGGGGTGGAAATTGAAAGAGCCCTGGGCAGGAGCAGGTGGCTCCAGGTGGTTTCTGAGGAAGGACCTGGCCCTGCACAGCTGGGGAAACCACGAGTGGGTTTCTGGTGTGCCAGGCTCCAGCCCATCATGAGTTGTTCCAGCACAGCCCACAGAGGGTGCCTCAGTGCCACCTCCACCCTGCCAGGCCCACAGGTGATGCCTCAGGTTGGAGCTTTTCTATTTTTCCCATTCTGTGCTGCTTTAGTGTGTGGGTCTGGGTTCACATCAGGGATGCTGAGCTCTGTGCACAGAGCAGGGACATAAAACAATTCCTGCTCCAGCTGGGCACCAAGGACAAATGATCCAAATCTCAGCCCAGGAGCACAAACCCCGTGGGCTGGAGAGAGAAAAACAAGCAGGGTGGGACTGCCTGGGCTAAAGCTGGAATGGGACAATGAACTGCAAGGTGCAAATGGAGCAGAACTGATCCCAGGGAGAGACCCCGGGAGCGCTCGTGCATTTTGGGGCCATTTTGGTTCATCCTGGGTTCATTTTGGGGCCATTTTGGTTCATCTTGGGTTCATTTTGGGACCATTTTTGTTCACCTGGGGTGCAGCCCTGGCTGGGCTCTTGCGCTGCCCATGATGGATCCATTGAGGAGATCCTTTTAATAAATCCCTGCTTTATTCTTTAGTTCTGTCCAGCCTCTGCTCTAGCTCAGCCTTCTCAAGGCATCACAGGAGGTGAGGCTTCCTCACCCTCATCCTCTGAAGGAGCAGTGAAGGCTGGAGCAGGATTAAAGCTTGTGGGAAGCTCAGGAAGAGCAAAGAAAAGCTGAGCAGTGCCCACAGTTCCCTTGCAGGTGCCATCCCCACCCCAGTGCCACAGCATCCCATAGGAGCTTACAGGAGTTGGGGTCTCCTTTGGAGATCTGGTGCATCCTAAAAAATCGTGGTGTGCAGCCAGTTCCCCTCACAAGCCCCAAATCCAGGTCCTGCAATGCCTGCAGAGGCACAAGGGCACAGGCAGGACCACGAGCATCCCACCAAGCATAGAGGAATTCCCTCAATCCTGGTGTTTGATCACAAAGTTCCAGCTGGGTCTCCCATCTCAGCGCACCGCCCTAGACCAGAACCCTGAGGAATGTGGATGGAGAAGTGTCCTGGTTTCTGCTGGGAGAGAGTTCATGTTCTTCTCAGTATTGTCATTCAATTACATTTTTTTCCTCAGGAATTGCCATTCAATTGCATTGTGCAGCACCTGCTCTCCTTCACTTTTACTCCTGTCTTCCTTTCATCATAATTACTATACTTTGTATTTTTATAATTGGAATCCCTGAATTATGTGCATTGAAAGGAACCTTAAAGGTCAACTCATTCCATTCCCTGACATAGGCAGGGACTCCTTCCACTGTCCCAGATTGCACCAAGCACCATCAAATCTTGTCTTGAATATTTCCAGGGATCCATGGGCAGCCACAGCTTCTCTAGGCACCTGTGCCAGGGCCTCACCTCCCTCATAGGGAAGAATTCCTTCCCAAAGTAAAGAATTTCTTCCAAATATTAAACTGTTCTCATTCCTTTTCTTTCCAATTCCTCTTCCTCTGAAGGGGTACCAGGGAATGAGGGAGGCACCTGGGACTACACCACGAGAGGACAGTGGGGAAATGCTCCCATTTCCCATGGGAAAAGGAAAAGAGGAAGTTTTTGGACACAACCACAAAAAAATTGTCCCCACCCCATGACCCTGAAGCATCACACCCAGCTCAGTGCTGTGGCAGATGAGCAGGGACACATCCTCCTCCTCCTCCTCCTCCTTCCTGGAATGAAGGCTCACCAAATGATCCCAATTCCCTCCCTCCACTGCATTACAGCATTTTGAATCATTTATTTCTGCCTGGAGGTGAATCCAGGAAAAGGAAGGAGGTGACAGAGGATAACACAGACCCACCACAGGTAAAACCCAAATTAGGGCCAAGTCAGAGGTCCCAGACTCCCGCCAGCAGCTCTGAGCCACCACCCACTGCACCCAAAAACCACATTGCAAGAGAAATACAAAATATAGCACTTTAATTGCAGGGAGATATAAAAATTTACTCCAAAAATGAACAAACCTCAGGCATACAATAAATAGGCAGCTTTGGTGGCATGCACACATGTGCAGCCCTGCTCTGGGAGTCACCAGAGCTGGGGGCACACTCAGAGGCTGTGAAAATGAGGATTTACACATGGATGACGCTGCCTGGGCACGCCTGGGAGAGCCCCACACGTGTGTTTGGGAGGGTGAAGCCAAGCTATTCACACTACGCTGCAATCTTGAAAAATTAAAATTCTGTGTATTTATATAAACTCTGGCTCTGGTCAGGAAAAATTAAGATTCCCAAGTTTTCATATTCAATATTTACACATAGAATCTCTGCATGGGTTCCCGAATTTCAATCCACTTTGGTGTGAAAGAGAAACACATAAATCTCACAGTAAAAAAAAATAAAGAGGAATTTCAGGAGTTTTCTTTGGGAGGTACACCCTGCCTTGCACCAGCAGGACTCTTTGAAGGGGGAAAGCTGATTCCTGGATATAATTTCTTAAATTTGAGCATTCTAAGGCTTTTCCAAGAGTCACCTCCTATCGAATTGCTGCTCTCAGCAAGGTCTGAGTTGCAGATTGTTGGGGCAGGTGGTTACAGCTGCTGCTTTTTGGTTCTGCCTGACTGGCCATTAACAAAGGCAACACAAAGCAAAGCCAGCCCTGACCTTCCTGCACAGCTTGGATGCCCCTCAGCCATGAGCTACAGACAGTTCTGGAACTAGAAAAGTTTTATCATAAATTCTTATGATAAAATTCTTATAAATTCTTATTATCAAAATTTTTTATCATAAATTCTTTACAGGACAAACACTGAACATCCAAGCTGTTTGCTCACGGTAATTTTCACCACTGGATTTATACAGTCTCTGTGCTGGAAACAGCAAAGAACAAAACTCAACTTTTGGAAAAAATAAAGAAAAAA